CTGTGTGTGTGATGTCCGCCATCGGTGTGTCGTATCGTGTCTCATCGAATAGCCTGTGTGGTGTGTCTGTAATCGTCTCCTCCTGTCTGCCATTCTCTATTCATTGCAATTTTTCTATTCACTCTCATATTTCCTTCAAATAAAATCTTGCTTTCTTTCTCAGCGCGCCTGTTCCAGCAAATAATTCTCCTCTCTCCTCATCTTCTTTGTCTTTCAACTCCTTTCCTTTGCATATCGCCTTTGCCTCTCATTCCCCCTTTTATCATGTCTCCCACACACCCTTTCCTTTATCCAGCTTGCGCCAACAATTCCTATTCATCCCGTCTTATCCAGAAATAACCCAATCAATAGTTTATATCTCTCTCGGTTCGCACACTTATCTCCGCCTTTTCTTCCCTTTTCCACCTTTTCTCCGCCTTTTCTTCCTTTTTTCCACTTTTCTCCACTTTTCTTCCTTTCTCCGCTTTTTCTTCTTTTTCAACTTTTCATCTCCGCCTGTTTCTCCTTGCATTCCCCTTTTTCTCAAACGTTTTCTCTATCCTTATCCACCTTTTTTCTCATCCATTTCTTTCACTTTTCTCCGACTTTCTCTATTCTTTCCATCTTTTCTTCTTCCGCCTTTTCTCTATTCTATCCACCTTATCCGCCTTTTCTCTATCTTATCCACCTTCTTTTTCTCCTTTTCGTTCCCCTTTTGTCAGCCTTTTCTGTATTTTATCACCTTTTCTCCATTTTCTACACCTTTCCTCCACACTTTTCTCCATTTTCTACAGCCTTTCCTCACCTTTTCTCCTTTCATTCCCTTTTCTCTATTTTATCCACCTTTTTCTGCTTTCATTCATCCTTCTCCGCCTTTTATGTTTCATCCACCGTTTCTTCTGCGCTTTTCTTCCTTTCATCGGCATTTCTTCTCCATTGTCATCCACCGTTTCTTTCTCTGCCTTTTCTTATTTTTATCCAACCTTTCTCTTCCGCTTTTTTCTCTATTCATTCACCTTTTCTCCGCATTTTTCTCTCTTTTACCACCTTTTCTCCATTTTATACACTTTTATCCACCTTTTCTCGCAACTTTTCCCTCTTGACTTTCCTGATCTTTTTCGCTACCTTTTACGCCACCTTTTAATCCTTCCAAAATCTCATCTTCTCTATATTCTTCACTTTTTTCCGCCTTTTTCTTTCTTCTCTTATTCAACCTTTGTTCACCTTTTTTCGCACCTCATTTGTTCCCCTTTTATCTCCCTTCCTTTCTCACCAACCAGTTTCCCCCTCCAAGCTTTCTCCACTTTTCTTCACCTTTCCCTTCCTCCCTTTCTTCGCACCTTTTTCGCCCACCTTTTTCCCCTCCCATCCTTTCTTTCCGCTTTCTTTCGCACGACTTTTCTCCAGCTTTCTCGGACCTTTTTCCCTCCACACTTTCTCCCACCTTTTCCACGCTCCATCTTTCTCCACCTTTCTCGCACCTTTTCCCTCCCACCCTTTCTCGCCCTTTTCCACCCTTTTCCCTCCCACCCTTTCTCCATTCTCTCCACCTTTTTCCTCTCTCCTTCCGTCCTTGTTCTCCACCTTTCCCTTCGCACCCTTTCTTCTCCACCTTTTTTCCGTCGCACCTTTTTCTACCACCTTTCCTCACTTTTCCCCTCCACCCTCTTCTCCACCCTTTCTCCCACCTTTCCCCTCCCAGTCTTTCTTCCCTTTCCCTCCCATCTTTTCGTCCACATTTTTTCCCTTCCCATCCCCTTTCTCAACCCTTTCCTCCACCTTTTCCCACACCAAACGCCTTACCACCTTTTTCCCTCCACCCTCCCATCTTCTCTCCCCCTTTTTCTCCCACCTTTCTGCCTTTTCTCCACTTTTCCCTCCATCCTTTCTCTCCCTTTCTTCGCACTTTTTCTCCACCCTTTTCCTCTCTCCCTTCCGTCCTTTCCTCCCACCTTTTCCACCTTTTCCCATCTCTCCTTTCCCCATTCCCTTTCCCATTTCCCCTCCCATCCATTCTTTCCCTTTCCTTCGCACCTTTTTCTCCACCTTTTCCCCTCCCACCCTTTCTCCATCATTTTTCCACCCTCCATCTTTTCTCTCCCATTCTTTCGCACCTTTTCCCTCCCACCTTCTCTCCACCTTTTCTCCACCTTTTCCCCTCCCATCCTTTCTCTCCCTTTCTCCCACCTTTTCCTCCCCCTTTTTCCCTCTCTCCCTCCCACCCTTTCTCCACCTTTTCCCGCACCAAACGCCCTCCACCTTTTCCCTGCCATCCTTTCTCTCTCTTTCTTCGCACACTTTCCCTCCCACCCTTTCTCCATCTTCTCTCCCCCTTTTCCCCTCCCATCCTTTCTCAACCCTTTCTCTACCTTTCCTCCA